GCTGTTGCATGACTCGATGATCTTGGAGGTCTCTTCCAACCTTTAATGATTCTATGATTATATGAAATTGCACCCTCTATCCTCTGTGCAAGTATGCACAGTTTCTACCTCCATTAAAAATAGTGTCCTCTGCAGAAAGAAAATAGGTATTTATATATACACAATTCAGTGTGGTAGTTAAAAGGAAATTATATCATCGTGCAACAGATGCTGAGCCTTAGTTCTTGGGAATGCAAGATGTATCTGGTCCCACATATCCCTTCATCCTGCAAACTCGCTGGTTAGTTTGCCCTACAGTTACAATAATTATAAAGGAAAAAAATACAGAATTGCCAAACAGGGCCTAGACTAGCATGCTCAACAGGACTGCGAGGCACATAGGAAAGCTTGCTGCCTCTGGATTATGACAAGTGCTTAACTGTTACCCACTTTCCTAAACAGCACTGGTTATTACTTAATGGAGACTTCCACTAGGATTTGCATTGTCCCTCTGAATGCAAGCTAGCACCTGGCTGGCCCACTTCATGCACAGGTTCAGCTTAGCCAGATCACTAGGAGGACACGTGAAGTCAGTGTATGCTGCTGTTTGAGTAAGTGCAATCTAGTAAGAAACAAATGTAATTTTAATCTAAAACTAACTACAAGATTATCCAGCAGGTTTCCACCTTCAGATGACAGGAGCAGTTTGGGCAGGTTGACACTTGTGAAAGTAAATGCCCATGCCACAAGCATTCGTGCAGAACTGCCAGACGCCACAGAGATCCCCGCGTTAGAACTAGGAGGAGGAGCCATTTAACAAAACCCCATTATCCCACACAAAGTTCAATGTGTTGTAAGGCACATTGATTCATACAGTTTATGCAATATTAGAATACTTCAAGCATGAAAAGGGGTGGGGGAACCTGCATGTGTATAGGTGTCTTCCAGACAGCATTGAACTATATTATAAAAAATGGACAAAAAAGGCACACAAACCTTTTCTTTCATAATTCAGTATTTACATTGACTTCAGGTTAGACAATATAGCTGATTGGTTTCTTTCTGGGCAGAATCTTTTTTTAAAGTTCTGGCAGCATTGCATGCTTTCAGTATGTATGGGAGTGTGGAGAAAGGAGACCAAAGCCATTCCTTAAAGTTTATTCTTGCCACAGTAATTAGTAAATACTAAAGACTCTTCCAAAGCATATGCAAGTGACAAGCCTTGCTTACTGTGTAACTGAAGATTATCACAAGAAAAAAAAATCCAAACATGCTTAATAGTTAATTAAACAGTTAATATCAGAACAAACTACACTAGTTGTACCGCATGCATCCAGAGTCTAAGGGTCAAGATTCAAGTTAATCAAGTGCATTTTAAGTGCAGCTGTACTCTGACTCAGGGCTACCACTTCAGGCTTTTTTAAGCCATGTCAACAGTTGGATGAATGAGTCAGAAGAAAATTTGTGATCTTTGTCACTGAATGAGATACACATCTTGGTTTACAGCTTTCTTCTCTCCCGGATTTCACTGTGCCTTTGGGCAAACTTGCTGAGGATATATACTAAGGATAAAGTTGTCTTGGAAATAGTACAAAACCAAAAGTGGTTTGTAAAGTAAGTCTGCCTTGTCAAGATGCAGAACAGGCAGCTTTGGTCTAGAAGGAAATGAAAGAGGACAAGTGCTGAGCATCTGTAGCAAAAGGAAAAAACCACTGCTGTGGAAAGGCTGAAAAAAGAAGCAAACGTTAGAGAGGATATCTGCCTCCAGGCCTCATCTTTGTTGTTTTGAAGTGGGTCACATCAGCTGATCTCATCTTCCCCTTCCCTGAAACCAAACAGCTGCCACCAGTCCAGGTGAAGGAGCCGAGAAGGCATTTAACATTTACCTGTTCTCGTGGCATATAGAGGGAATTTAACGCTATCTATTAAACATGAGTGTGCACATCCAATCAGCTTAAGACAAGTCAGAAAGACTGAAGCCTAAGGCAGCTGCAGTGCTAAGCAACCTTGTAACACACATCATCTTCGGACATCCGTAACTCATGTAACTGCATTTACTTAGCTACGCACAAGTTGAAACCCCTGTACACAGCAAACTTAAAGTAAAAAAGCTTCAGAAACAGACTGTATGAACAAAAATCCAAGCCAAAAGAACAACTAACGATGGGGATCCAAAGAGAAAGGATGAAAACAGCTACATGATAACCACAGAAGCAAAACATAACAGACATCAAGTGATTTTATGATTAGAAGATTCAAGTATAAATCACCTAAGTAATTTACCTAAGGACAGAGTAACTTACAAGAAACAGGAGATCTCTAGAAGTGGGACTGAACTAATAGTACCAGACACCCTGGTTTTGTCCCTACACATCACTAGCAACATGTGGCTCAAACGCTGCACCCCGAGACCACTTCCTACTTCCTTTATGATTCACATAAATAAAAGCAGCACATATGGGAAACTTGGTAGCTGCAGTTAATAAACATATCCAACTAAGACATGGGACTTGAAACGTGCACTCCACTAGGCACAATACATGCAAGCCAAACCAAAATTGTCGAGGTGATGGAGGTGGCAGCATTAAACTCATGACATCAAGTAACTGGATGGCTTATTCTGCTATGGGCTTTGCATCAACTGTTTTAGCACATACTGCCTCCTTGCAAGAGGCAAAACATCTTGAGAAAAGACAACAAAACGCTAAAGTAAAACTATTTTAAAGAAGAACAGCTGGTTCTGTGTTGGCAGCCAAGTCACCACCATACACCAGAGGGGCTTTGTGTTGCCACTTCCTGCTCTAACAGGATTAGAAAGGCAAAGATAGATTTAAATGCTCCTCTTAGTTTAACCAGCAAAGATGCGCAAGAGGATCCAGGGATCCTTAAATCAAATCTCTGCTCAAAACCCATTTTTCCAAAAGGAGGCTTGAAATATTCAAACCCATAAAGAGGCCTGCCCAAAGAGAAGTAATGAAGTGATTCTGTTTTGACTCTTACCACGCTTTCTGAACTATATCCCACCTCCAACAGTCTCAAATTTGTTACAAATCCAGCCCATTTTGTTAAAAGTGTACGTACCATAGCATAATTACAGGTATTAAGACCAATACACAGCCAGGACTTGGGAATTTTTGCTGTTACCTAGGTATATTCTGTCCAAACACAGAAGCCTTTTCTGTGTGTGTACGTGTGTGTTCCTGGATCAGGGCGATGAACAGCAGCCTGCTAATCTACACAGAAAGCCCTCTTGTGGGCTGCGCAGCATTATTAGTCTAGAGCTTCTGATAAAGGCATATTCCCAATATCTAGCTTGTATTCATTAAGGGATTGCTTTGTTCTGTGGGGACAGAGACCTCTAGCAGCCTGGGACACCAGAGACCTTTTCTGGAATAGGATGCTCAATCCTCTGGCAGAGAGAAAAATCACTTCCTTCCACCAACCTATATATATATCCGCTTAAGGAGATCCCACCTAATAATTGTAAGGACAGTAACACCCATCACATTGGGCTAATCAACGTCTACAAGTTATCTGTGAAAACTGGGAAGAGGCTTTCCCGCTTATTTCAAAAGGCAAGAAGAGAGCTCTGACCCACTAGAACATTGCCAACAGTCTTAGTCAGGTTTTTAATTGCAGGAAAATTTCTCATGACATTGCTTTTCTCTCCTAAAGCGTGTTTTATCCCAATTCCCTTTTCCAAAAGGCTATTTATTAATCAAATCTTTAAAAGGGAATTTATTAGTCATGTATTGCATTTTGCTCTCTCTCTTCACGGGAAGATTCTTTTCCAGCCTAACCAGAATAGGCTATTTGGCTTATAACGATAAAGGATCAGCGCACTGACACGACTATGTTACTGAGAGAGTTTCCAAATTCAGGTTTTTTAATATAAAACACAAAAACGTTCAGACTAACAATAAAATGTTTTCTTCTCACTTCTGTTTTCTGCAAAATAGGATACAGAGATGTTAGAATTAGCTGAACAACGTGCACCAGCATTATGTTGGAAAATTAAATAAAACCCTCAGAGTCTGGTTCTCCCTTAGAGTCCTTTCACTGCAGTACAATGACTCAATAGTCTCCTTGCATTTTTGTCCATAATTTTCTTCAGAACAGCAGAAATACCAGGCACCCACATTCCTAAAGATTATTACAGACACCAGAAAGGTTGCTTGAGATCTGCTCCCTCTTATGGTGATTACAGAGGAGAAACAGCCAGTTCTATAACCCTAAACAATCAGTACAAGCCCCAGATACAGCTATTTTCAGTACGATAACGTCAGCAGTACATGGTAACTGCAATGAAGGGCTTAGCATGTAATATTTTAACAAGAATCACTAAAAAACAAAAAGGGGCTTAACTTCTGAGTATGTAAATTATTTAATTAATAGCATTGGGCTGGTGTTATGGAGCTTAAAAACAAACCAACCCACAAAGCCTGTAGCCAGGCATCATTCTGAACCAAGATCCTGACTTCCTCGCACTGTGTGTATCACCTAGATTTTAAGAACCCTTAACAGCTTTTCCCACCCTCCCCAATATCTAATACGTTGCCTTCTCTGAAATCAACAGGACCACCCCCCAACACCCACCAAGTAGCTGTCTCCTCTGCTGCAGTCCTTGGAAACTGCTAACAGCTCAGAGCGGAACAGCTTGCCAGCCGTACTGTGCACCCGCAGGCTACAAATTCATGCTATAGCCAAGGTAAACTAACAGCTAGTTCTCACCACAAGTGATCCCACCACCAGCATTGGTGCTCACTTGACCTAAACAATGAGATAATTGGAACCAACAGGAAAATCAACTCAATTTTTTTTCCTGCCGGTTCAGCTCTCCAGTCCAGTGACAGAAAAGTGCTAGTGAGAAAGGAGAGGAGAACATAGCCTTGGGAGAAGTAGGACAACCCCTTTCACTGATAGCTAGCTGTCAGGCAAGCTTAGCTGCCTTGTGAGACCATGCCTTCAGCGCGCTAGTTCACCTCTGGATGAAGAGCCACTTGTTACTATTGAGTATCTTGGCATCTAAGGCATAATTTGCTAATTCAAAGGGAAATTACAGTATTTGAGAAAAGTTAAGCTGTAGTGTTTGAATTTAAGGAACAGATGATTCTTGCTTTTGTAAGAGACATTCAAGACTTACTGATAAGCCATGGAAGTAACTGTAACATTTTCCCACGTGGCTTTTATGCTACAGAAATTAAGACTCATTAGGTCTTGAACACTAGTACAGGGAGTGGAGAAAGCAAGGTTATCAATGAGAATGCATTCAGCTCCCAGAACAGCCATTGTCCAGCTTCACTACCTCCGCCTCCATGAAGGGGAGTTTCAACATAATTTCAGTCCAAATGCTCCAAGTATTTTTTTAATCCAAGATGAACTAACAGTTTCTATAATGCCAAGTGTTAACTTCAAAGGTTATTGTTTAGTAAACTTCTCCACTCCTACACTGGTGTGATACTGAGTTTTAGCAGCATACGCAGTACTGAAGGTATCTGATTGAGCTACGAGGCAGCTATTTGGAGGCAGAATTATCAAAGTAGTTAGTTACTTGGAAAGCCATAAAAATTGTTTTGCAATCTGATGGGTAAGTGTATGCAAACACTCCAAATTCTGCAGCTAAAGGAAGGACTCATCTTTAAATAGAATGTGGCCAAGCACAAATAAAGTTGTGCCATTTAAAATTCATTTCAGGAGGAAGCAAACTGCATTTTAGCTGGACAAAAGAGCTTTCAGTAGTATGAAAAAAGGGGTGTTAAAGACATCTAGAAATAGTCACACAGGAATAAATAGAGAGGTGTTATAAAGAGGTCAGGACAAGTGGTGTACATTTTGGCAAGTAATTTGAACACTATAGTGATAGTTTACTTTCTCCTCTAAAAGGAGCGAGAGGAGAAGGTAAACGAAGGATGAAGAAGACGATCCAGACACCCCTTAAACTGAATGCTCCACACACTGTAAGAAGCTGTGTCTCTCAAACAAGTCTTCCATCTGGGGGTGGGGAGGAAGCGCAGAACAGGTTTTCCCAGTGAAACTCAGTTAAAGACATGGAGGCAGCACAGCCCCCTCAGAGCTGTGACGTGTTATCGCGCACCACACAACTCACCCTGCTTCAATAGTCAGAGTTGTAGAACCAGGCAGAATCAGATTTTCCAGAGAGCTTGCTAAATATGATTAGATGCTGCCTCTTATTTTCAATTAGATGAATCACCGTGACAATGAAGATCTTTCTAACACCATCACCAGCAGATCAACTGCTTACACTCAAAATATTCCCGCTCTCACATACAATAAGAGATCACAAACTTCTATTTAACAGAGAAGTCTGTAAGGGCCTCCACTGAAATAAACGTAGAAAGGATTACAAGACAACATCAGCTTGTTTGCTTTCCTTTTACCCCCGTTCTAAGCACGGCACTACGGCGCTGGCAAGCCTCTTCCAGTTTGGGTTTCCAGGTATCGGTCAGGGTTTAGATTTTTGCCCTCCTGTCACCACCACCTCACCCCGGTTTCCCGCACCCCTTAACGCCCTATTTGCCAGCCCGGACCGCTCGCAAGAAGAGCGGAGCAGCTCGGGCTCCTGCTCTCCTTCCATTTACTCACTCCCAGGGCGAAGCTCAGTTCCCAAGGAGAGCTCGCCTGCTTCCTTGCACAAGCGGCCC